AAAGCGGGTGGTTAATATTTTAATCTTAGTAAAAAATAAACAGGTCACTTTATAGTCATACATTTTTTTTTCAATGCTACTTTTCGTGCATCCTTTTGCCACTATCTGTGAGAATTTTCACAGTCTGCTGCTGACTTAATTTTATTCTTCCGTCACTCCACCTTTATTACCTTTGGAACTTAAGTCTATAAGCTTTTCAAAACAATTAAAAAAAAAAAAAAAAGTTAAAATAATAAATAAAAAACCACATGGATGAATAAGTAACTTTTTGACATCGTGAACGATTTTCCAAAATGAAAGTTAAGAAAGAAACTTTTAAAATATCTAATTTGTACAACAAAAAAAAAAAAGTCTACAACACGTGGTGTTCCCAAGCGGTCACCCATCTAAGTACTAACCACGCCCGACGTTGCTTGACTTCGGTGATCGGACGAGAACCGGTATTTTCAACGTGGTATGGCCGTAGACATAATATTGAGACTTTATTGGCTATTTATAGGTAATTATTTTGATCCGTGATTGTTTCATAATTAACTTAGCTTAAAATATAAACAATGGCAGTCTACTGGGGATAATGGATGAAAAATTGAATGCAGTAGATTAATGTGGCTTGTACATAAGCAGATGAGATGCACCGGCCCAAATGAAACAAATGGGTCCCCTCCCTCGTCCGCCATTTTGTTCACACTTTCACTTTCGATATCATTATTTATTCCAAACTTGGCGGCATCGCAGAGCTATCTTTGTTTGTTTGTTTCTTTCTTTTAATTTCTGTCGACTCTTACAATAAAATGAAAAATGTTATCATTTTTTTCTATTCAACTGGTTCTAGGTCAGTAGCAATCTCTCATTCATTCTGTCCGTGCTACCCAGTATGAAGACGAAGATACAAACAATGTCAATGGTGACAGTGACTGGCATTACAATTTATTCGAAACATGAAATATATGGAAATAATTACAATTACACGCTGCATTCGAATCACAAGGTAAACTTTTAATAACAATAATGTTTGATTGCTTGATTTCCTTTAATTATGCCATAGTATCTAGCCCACATATTTAAAATTATTAGTAAATCCGTGTTTTGATAATCAAATTCAAATACAGGGCTGCCACTCACTTTTTTTAAATTTCCCAAGATTTGGTGAACGAATTTCCCAAGATTTCCCAAGATCATAAAAATATATAAAAGTTTGTTTTTTTAAAGGGTTTTTTCTATGTAATTAATGTGATAATAGATTGAATTAATGCCCCTGAAAAACATGGTACATTGATTGACTGAAATTTATTGAAAAAGACATTTAAAAAATTTTTAATCACATAAAAGAAACAATTTGTAAAAAAATAAAATAATTTATAATCCAAAATATCAATACCCACTGGAGTTAGGTTAGTAAATATTACCTCCGAATTCTCTGGTAAAAATATCTACAATACATGTGTAATAGAAGTCACTTGGAAACAAAGCTTACAAGGCTAATCAACATAGAATTCCTTTTACAAGGGCAAAAGGCTCTTCATTAAAAAATGATTTTTCTTATTGTAAATCTGTTGATTAGAAGTGGGGTTTGCAAAGAAATTACGCAAAATTTATCAATAATAATTGTAGTTAAAATGGATTGATATCATTATGGAAACAATAAGTATTTTAATTTTTTTCTTGTAAATTTACATTATAACGATTTTTTAACCAAAAATAAAAAAA